ACCACACGGCGAAACAGAACGAAACACGTCGGAGCGTTTGAACCACATGACGAAGCGGAAACGTGAGAACGAAACACGTCGGAGCGTTTGATGAAGCATCAGCTGATGGTTTCAGTCAGTCAGATGATGGATCATGGCTGCTGCTGTTTGAATTAAATCGCTCGTTTGCACATTTTAAAGACTCAGAAGTCACTAAAGATACAAAAGTAAAACGTGAAAGTTCCAGTTTTCCGTCGAAGACGGAGTCCAACTAGAGCTGACGGTCCGAACCCACAGAGACCATCATGTCCCATAGGGTCATGAGTTTTCCTCCAAAAAGGGGCAGAGCTTTGCACAAAGACCAAATATCCGGATGTGTTGGTCCACTTTTTATTTTACTGAACATTAGAGTACAAAATAAAAACAAAACAGGATCAAGTTGATTTTACAAAATAGATCAAATGTGATCGTAAAATTTAATATTTGAAACAAATGAGGGACAAAAGAAAATCAAAGATGCATGAAGAGAGCGTGTGGGAGGTTGATGTGATGACATCACTTCCTGTGGACTGGTACGTGTTGTACAAGAAGCCCTAAACACACCTGATGATGATGATGATGATGGTGTGTGTGTGTGTGTGTGTGGGGGGGGGGTGTCCTCATGACAGATTCATGGACCTGTGAAAAGTTCCTCCTTGTGATTCTCGCCCTCGCTTCTTCGTCTGCACCCTCCTCTTCCTCCCCCACCACCATGTGGCGTTGAGTCATACATGTTCTGTGCGTGTTTGGACATGTTCTGGTCGGGTCCAGAACCAACAGACTGGCGTGACTGAGTGTTTACAGGCGTCCGCAGCCCCCAGCTCTGAGGGGGTTTATGTTTTTAAAATAATTGACGCGGTTGTGAAAACTAAACTGGCCTCATCTGTAAAATTATAATTCATGTCGGAGAAGTCAAACGGCTTCAAATGTGACTTTTTACAACTAGTTGGTTCTAACAAAGCTTTTATTTTTACTTTACTGTTTACTTGTTTTTTGTTCTATTTAGGCAAATAATAAAATATAATTTAATCCACAATAATCTTCAGCTGTTATGTGTTGCATTCAAGTGCTGCTTGAACATGGTATTTTACACCATCCAGTTTTTTGAATCCTCTCTGGTTTTATGACGCATTAGTCGTGTTTTAGCTGATTTCAAGTGGACAGGAAACATTTCGGCTGCTCTGCTCTCGATGGTTTCCTCCTCGGTGACCCGTCAGTTTCAGTTTTTTAGTTTGG